CAGTAGCAGAGACCTGTGGCCCCAACTATTTTTGTATGACAAACATTTATATCAGGTCAACATAACAATATTTTTATACTACATTTATCCATTTTAAATTCACTAACCTCACTCCTTTGTAACAACCAGGGCAAAAATGTAATTAATTCAGAAAATCTTTTCAGGACCCCACCTTGATGTTTCGGGACCCCACTTTGGGTCCCGACCCCAACTTTGGGAAACACTGTCGTAGTGGACAGCAGCAGTTTAAGCTGGCACACCTCTGCCATAATGAATATGAGGTGAGTGAGTGGAGGACGGCCTGCTGCCTGCCTGTCATCATCCGTTATTCATGTTGCACACTGACATCAGGCCAGCTCTACATGAAGGCCCTTTCAGATCATAATTCATCAGAGCTTTGAACTGTAGGGAACTCACTGAACTTTTGACCACGTTTGACTACCAACGAAACTCACCGTGGAATAAAAGCAAAAAAAAAAATCTTCCTAAAATGACACACACATCAGTGATCACACTCCACAGATTACACGTCATTGTGGGGTAATAAAATGCCGCCTGAGGATAAACTTTGATCTTTACGATACGGAGGAGCTTCATGTTTAATAAATGACCATAAAGACAAAGTGCTCACATCCTGGTGAGCTGAGCTTGTGCAAAACCAGCTTGTGTGATCACTTACCCAGAGAGCGCGACGACGTCGTGTACAAAGCTTTCTCGCCAATTCTGGAAAGGGCGTTAAAGTAGGCCTCACTGCACATGACAAATGCTGAAACACAACATAATTATCATGTTGAAGTTTAAGTTTCAATGTTTTTGAAACATGCAAAAACGTCTCAGCGTTAAAACAGAAAAAAAAACTTGTTTTTGATTACCACTACACTGTAAAACTGGGCTTTGCTTGTTTGTCACTTCAGTTTATTTTTGTCAATAGATAACGCTGAGGTATGATTTATTACCAAACTACCAAAGAAAATTGAAAATAATACACGAGTCAGGCAGGTGGTTGGATTAAAATTAGTTTGTCACCACTGTTTTCCAACTGTTTTCTTTATGTTTTAAGGAATTTGGTACAATTTTACTCATATTACTTTCAGGGAGATGGTGTCTTTTTACTATATAAAAATTAGTTATCACAAAAAACTCCAACAACAATCATGGTTCAGCGGATATGAACAATATTTATCTTATCTGCCAAAAATAAAACCAAGTGTCAACAGATCACATTAGTTATGATAAAAATGTACATTTAAAATAGAACTATTGCTTTTTAGTCAACTCACAATTTTAACTCAGATCCCCATTTTGAATTAAACCTAACTATATTTGCTGATTTTGGCATTTACCTACAGCCTTTTAATCAATCGTTTTATTCTAATTAAGAAAAATGATAATTCATATTATCTAGAGTGAGGTTCTGTGGAGACATTATAAACTGGCAACATCTTACTTGTTGTAGATAGCTCTTTGAACAACCTCCATTGGGAGAATAGTCTAAGGCTGACTGGATTGATGAGCTAAAGGTTAGTTTGAGCTGTGCCTAAGTGATCATTTTAAAAAATTAGTTTAAAAGTTTGTGGTTACAACATGTAATCTTCATGTTATTTTAATGTAATAAAAAGGGTAACAAGGTTTTTTAAAACAATGTTTTTATGAATCACTATGAAATCTTTTCAAATGAAGTCATTTTTAAATGCCAGCAATGCAGTACATGAAGTATCCATGCAATTGTCTGAGTTGTAGTGATCTTTTTCAGTTGACTGAAGTGTCTATCTTGATATCAAAGGTCAAGCAGAAGACAACACAGTGATTTCTTTCATCAGAGTGTCATTAAAATTCATTCAGCGGTTCATGAGATATAGTGCTAACAATATAGACAAAAACACAGACACAGAAACTGCTCTCACTTTGTGATAGAAATAACTTAAATCTCTGTCTGTATATAACACTCAGATATGAAACATCAGATTTATCGGTTTTACCTTTGAAAGCCTGGGCGTAGCTGTTTCCCAGTGAAACCAGTTTCTGTAGACTTGGGTTGAAATCATCAGTCAAGCTCTGTTCAAAAAAGCAAAATCGCAAAAAAAAAAAATCTGTTGATTTAAAACTGATTGATTTATTTAAAATGATCTGGATACACTGAAAAAGCAAACGTTAAGATGTTTTTATCTTACTCTGAATAAATGTAAGTGTTTAGTTTCAGAAAKCATGTCTGTTTGGCACAAGAAGAGTTAAAACTAAGCTTTCTGTAACTAAGAAAACTCCTTCTCAAAAACTGAACTGACCCATATTTCCTTTAAGCGCCTCCTGAAGAAATAAGAAAAATAAAATAAAATCAAGTTTGTTTACTCTGAACTCTAGCAGAGAGCTGCTGACTCGACCTGTTACTTACCGAGTAAATCCCCAACGTGGATCGGTGCAGCTGATCACCATTCATTCCTGACATGGTTACATCTAAAAGCCCGCAGCAGCCGGGGGGAAACCTGGAAAYGTCAAGCAGGTGTGAGACGGCCGCTGGAAGAGAAGGAACTGAGCGAGGAGCTGAGGGGAARCAGGCAGCCCTGTGTGATGGTAATCAACACCAGCTTCGCCTCTGAAAGACAGCAGTAAATAATTAAACACGGCTAAACCATAAAAACACACTGGCCTGTGCTCTGTGTGTGTGTCTGTGTGAGTGTGTGTGTGAGTGTGTGAGGCTGTGCCACATTGTATCTTTTATTCAAGACTCTATCAGAGATCTGCTTTTGTAAGAAATCAACACGGCCTRAAGTTCTTTCAGTCCTTTCATGGGGTTAGTTTGGAACAAGACGCAAACAAAAACTCAGCTTTTTTCACTTGCTGATACAAAAAKCAGGCAATGTCTGTCTGTTAGCAAAATCTCTCATAATCTGGATGATTTCAACARAACTCTACCATTCATCTGCAACTACTTAACTTGAAGGTTGCCTTTTCAAGAAACAATGTATTTGTCTAATTGTTGTTGACCCACATAGCAGACAGGTGTGGGCCAGATCTGGTGACAGACAGGCACTGCTGGCATGGCAAGTGGTTTGTCAACCAGAAGCGAACCAGGTCTGGCAATGATGGCACCGTTTTTAAGATGGCATGGCACTATAGCTTTGGGCCACATAAACCAAACGACATCTGGGCCAGTTGTGGCATAGACAAAATTGGGTCACATAAACCAAACCACTTGCAAACAGGCCACTAGGGCATTGACAGATTGGGGCAACATAAAACCTGTCACCCTGAAAAATCTGTCAATGCACCAACTGGACCAGAACTGGCTCACACCCGGTTGATCAACTACTTGCCACGCCAGCTGTCAGTCAATAGTGCCAGCTTGACACCATATCTGGCCCACACCTGTCTGCAATGTGAGAAGTAGAGTTCCCAATTAGTCAGAAACATCTAAGTATTTATTTACTGTTGTTTAGGATAAAATGTTGTTCTTAGACTGAGAGCAGATCTGTTTTCATGGATCATAGCTTCAAATATCAGCTTAAGCACAAAAAGGGTTTAATTTGTGCGAAATAACTGAATGCAAAATAACATTTTAGCATCTTTACCACTTATTGTAGGAGTCTAAGCTTTAGGCCAGTCGTAGGTGGATCAGAGGATGTGAGTTTCAAACCCATGTATTTACTGTGAGGCAGCTGTGCTAATGCTAACCTCTCCTGCCCTTAAAAATCGATCACTTTTTTTAGCACTGCAGGATGCCAGGATTTACCCGCACAAACTCCACAAAGTAAACGGAAATATTTAAATATTGGAAAATTACAGTTTTAAATCCAAATAGAATAGAATAGAATAGAATAGAATAGAATAGAATAGAAAAGTATTATTATTATTTTAATAATAAATTATTTTTGAGCTCACGATATTTTCTATTTTTGTTGTAATATTTTGTCTCCTTTACTGCTGCCCTCT